ACTATATGTCATTACGGAACCATAAGAGTTGTTGTATTCATCCTGATAAATATAATTTAGATGTCCTTTCTTCATGCCTTTATGCATGGGTGAAACTTCATAACTATGTATATTGTATATAGCATTTTTAGCCGGGCTTATTGCTCAAAGAGCAATTGCCGGCTTATGTGATCCTGTTCAAGGCAGGATGTTAACCCAATAGTCGCCATTTTAAAGTTACGTGCAAAAATATAGTTCTTACTCTCAACCGCTTTTGAGGTAATACAAACGCTAAATAAAGCAAGAAAAATAAAACGAAGTTTTATCTATATAAAATAAACATTTGTATTAATGACTTTGAAAACTTCATAAGTCAAAGAACATAGTTCATTAGCGTAAGGATTTTTGATAATAAGTGTTACCGTAGTTCTCTACACATATGAGGTAAAGCAGGAGAGGGAACCAGACTGGCCTGTTTGTTTACATTCAGCTGCGGTACCAGATTAATTCTGATTCTGACAAAATCGGACCGTGGTATTAGGATTGAAAAACTCACTGTCAGTGTCTTATCATTTATATTGATAGTTTTAAAATAATTTTTTCATCAGAATATAAACGTGATTCATGTAAGAAATCCATTCTACTCTGTAAATGAGCCCGGCTCTCTGTACCTCTGAGTACTTTGATTATCATTTGTAGCTGCAGATCTGTAGAGTTATGGTTTTATATATTTGTCTTTCACCATATTTGTCTTTGAGCGTTATGGTAAAAGACAAATATATAAAACCATAATGCTACAGATCTGTAGCTATATCATTTGTAGATTGTGATTGGTTCAATTAAATATTGTTTACATACTCTTTCGCAATAGTTTTGAAATCATGATTCAGCTTCCTGAGACGTCCAGTGTATTTTTCTTTAATTAGGCCCTTGAAGATTGGTTGTTTCTTTACTTTTAATCCCTTTGAGATTTGTTGGGGCGACATTTGAACATTTCCCTATTGCTCCAAAATAAGACGTATGCGGCACTTTTTTGCCATTAAGCATTGGAGGATCTTTTTGAGCCAGCATCTTCTGCGACATTGGACATAAGTTTTTATGATCCCTTTTGAAGGACCGCATTCAACATTCTTCATTGGGATTTGAACCTGCGACTTAAAATTAGCCACTTACTTCTTAACTCCAAAGCAAAATGCTCTAGAACCACTGCAAATCCCATGGCCCTAAAAAAAGTACATTGATTGTCTACAAGCACTAAGAGGCTGATGGAAGGTTTGAAAAAATATACTCGGATGTCCGGTCTTTGCGTATTTGAGAAAAATTTTTTTATTCGATTTACATAAATGTACTCTGGCATGAGATATTTTACAATTCAACTGAATAACAGTTTTGAATTAATTGATAATGAATTTTGCTTTTAAACGGCATATGAATGATACTTAGCATTTTGTTCACAAATCGCTTTCTTTTGTACTTTTCTTATTTATAAAGATAATTCTCCATTAAATTTTAGAATGTACAGCTCAACGCACTTTTTAAAGTCACATGGTTTTTCGCACAAAATAAAGTCACATTTTTCTTGCAATAAAGCTTAAAATTATCGAGTTTCAGTACGAGATATAACCCTTATAGTTTTAAATTGTTTCATGTTAAAAGGTGCACATTCTATAAAATCATTATCTTTTGTTTTAAAAGTCAATGTTCTAAAAGGAAATTTGTTTTTAAATTGATTGATGTTAAATGTGTATGGTTCTATCAGAGGTTTTTACAAATTGATTTATGGAAATTTCTTTAATACTATTTGGTTGAAATGTTCAAATTTACTTCTTGATAAGTATTTTTCAAGGTACTGTGCACATTTTCCATACTTGTCTTGGTTTTGTCGAAATTCGGCACCGAAAATTGACAAAACTACATAAAGAAATTGGGTAAAAGGATAGGATAATAAAGTATTGTTTATGTTTCAACAAAGTAAATTGTTAATATCGAGAAGAGAATTCTTTTATATTTATTGTCTGAAACTTTAAAATTTTGCATTGGAAGGTATCTTTCAGGAAGTTAACCTGAAAAAATGCCATTTTTTTAACATGGAAAGCAGTCGAACAGATGAGAAATACTTCTATCATCTTGCGCATGAGTGTTATATTAATGTTCAGAAAATACAGTAGTTACGTGAACTGCCCTTTTTCTGTATAAAGGCAAACCAAAAGTATGCTTTAAGATGAACAGATACAAAGACGGTTGCATTTGATGAGAAACATGGAAAAAACCATTTGGAAATTCTCATAAGATATCAACCAAGAGCTTATAAAGATTCTACCAATTATAATGTGTGAATTATGTTTAAAGTAATGGCATATGATCAAAATTAAGTTATAAATCATTTTTTAAATATATTTTGTCGTCACATTACACAGTTTTTACATTATAACAATGTGACCTTGATTTGTGCGAAAAACCATGTGAGTTTAAAAAGTGTGTTGAGCTGTTATTTTCAAAGCTGCTGTTAGAAAAAAAAATTGTTTACCTACCTACCGACCCAACTTAAAAATTTAGGGTCGGGTTAGGGGAAATAAAGATATTTTTAAATCCAGCCTAAGTGTATAATTATGATAAACAATGGTGCTGCTTTCAAAATTGTGAATTTCATGGCCTTTGGTTTAAAACACAAACCAATTCATTTGTTGGAAAGTTGTTACATGATACTCAGGTGACCTATAAGGCCCATGGGCCTCTTGTTTTATCATTATTTCCTCATAATTTATCATTTAATTAGACATTTTAAACTCCTGTTTTACTCTAGTGTAAATTATAAATAAATGTTGATTAAATTAATGTTAATTTAATAGAAGTCTTGATGACACATCATTAATGATGCAATTTTATCCTTAAGAGATTAAAAATCCACTCAATTAAGCAACATTATAGCCACAGTAAAACAATTTATAGTGAAAACGCTTACAATGAATTGATGCTTACAGCGAATTGAGTTTCAATGACCTTAAAATGTATTGTAAACTTTAAGGATATAAAGAATTATGCTTATAACGAAGCAAAATCTTCCCTCCCTGATACTTCCTTATAAGCCTGTTTAACTGTACAGTAAAACTTGTTTAGTACAAACACGGATATTGCACATTCATGGATATAGCGAAGTTATCTTGGATCCCCAGCTATATGAATTTAACGAATTCCTTATACCGATATAACGAATTACGGATATAGTGAAGTAATTTCACAGGTTCAGGGGACTTTGTTTTAACCTAGTTTTACTGTACAATCATTAATTAGATTTTTTTTATCATTTATGGTTGCTACATGAACATAGCCCTAGGGTTTGGCTGTGGCAGTACTAGGAAATGAGAATAAATTACATGAATAAGTACTTATCTGTTCAAAATTTGTCTGTTGTCTGTTATCGTCGACGTTGGTGTTGTTGTTCTTCTCGTTGTCAACTTTTCACATTTTCATCTTCTCGAGAACCACTGGACCAATCTTAACCAAACTTTCCCGTTTGAACATGGTTAAGATTTAATTCGGAGTAACTTACATTTCATTTGAATAAAACTCTCATGTGAACAGGGCATAAAAATTCTTTTTAAAATTTAATTTGGAGTACCTCACATTAAATCCAAATTAAGCTCTCATGTGTTCAAGGCATAAAAATTCTAGTTCCAGGTAGGGCCAAGTTGACATATGATGAGAAATTTTTGATACACAGGTCTATCAAGGAATATCATCCTTATGTTGAACAGTTGCAAAATCCTTCTGCTTAACTAAGACATAAAATATACTTTTTAGCTCACCTGAGCTTAAGGTTCAAGTGAGCTTTTCTGATCACATTTTGTCCTTCGTCCGTCCGTCTGTAGACTTACACATTTTTGACTTCTTCTCAAGAACCAATGGGCCAATTTTAACCAAACTTGGTACAAAGCATCCTTGGGTGAAGGGGAGTTTAAATTGTTAAAATTAAGGGCCAAGTCCCCTTAGAAAGGGAGATAATCAAGAAAAGACAAAAATAGCGTAGGGTCATTAAAAAATCTTCCTCTCAGGAACCACTGGGCCAGGAAAGCTGAAACTTTTATGGAAGCATCCTTTGGTAGTGTACGTATTAAATTGTTGATATCATGACCCGCGGGGATAGGGCATGGCTACAATAGGGAATCCAACTTTTACATAGAAATATATAGAACAAATATTTAAAAATCTTCTTCTCAAGAACCACTGGGCCAGGATACTGTAGATTCCTAATTATATGCGAAGAATTAATTTCCGCGTAATTTCGCGAGAAGCATCACTCGCGAAAAAACATCACTCGCTTTTATTTTTATGGTGCTGAAATCTATGTAAATTCTGTTAATCAACCGTCCATTCGTGAATCATAATTCTCGCGATTTGACATGAAAGACCCAGTTCACGATAAAAAGTTCTCGCGAAAAATAAGGAATCTACAGTAGCTGAAACTTATGTGGAAGCATCCTTTGGTAGTGTAGATATTAAATTGTTAAAATTATGACCCCTGGGGGTAGGGCGGGGCCACAATAGGGAATCCAAGTTTTACTTAGAAATATATAGAACAAATCTTTAAGAATCTTTTTCTCAAGAACCACTGGGCCAGAAAAGCTGAAACTTATGTGGAAGCATGCTTGGGTAGTGTAGATATTAAATTGTTAAAATTATGACCCCAGGGGGTAGGCAGGGCCACAATAGGGAATTCCAAGTTTTACATAAAATTTTACAAATCATGACCCCTGGGGGTGGGGCAGGGCCACAATAGGGAATCCAAGTTTTACATTGATATATTTGGGAAAAGTATTTGAAGAATCTTCTTTTCAAAAACCACTGGACCATGAAAGCTGAAACTTATTTGGAAGTATCCTTGGGTAGTGTAGATTGTAAAGTATTAAAATCATAAAAGGGAGGGCATGATAGGAATAGCAAGAGGGGAAATCAGGTAAAGAACTGCATCACCCAAGTTACTCAGGTGAGCGTTGTGGCCCATGGGCCTCTTGTTTTATCAGGGTGTAGATTTGCAGAAAACTGTGGAAGCTGGATACTTTATTTCAAAAGTGCTAGGACGTAGTACTCAATCTAAAGTTGGACAAGCAATGAAGTCATCATTATAAGAAGAGAAAACACGATTTGATTATTTTCTTTGTGTGGCTACACCTAGGGGATTCATCATCTGAATTGCTACTTACATCTGAAGAAGAATATAATGCATAAAGAACTGTTTAAAACAGTTTTGTGTCCATAATGCTTTCACTTACTGTAAATGTATTATATTTTGTGTGTACAATATTTGGCATAAAATTATTCACTTTTATATACTTGATTTCAAGGTTGCAGCTTTCCAAATGTATACTAGCGGGAAAAAGAAACTGTGCATTATAAGGTGTAGTAAAAAAATTATATATTTATTGTTTATATTAATACAATATAAACAGCCGATGAAGGTGATGTTTTTTAACAATATCTGATAATACCCGACTCAGATGCATGGACTTTTCATGGTTAGTGAGCACATGTTGATTATTGATGTTTTCGTATGAGTTTTACTGGCCAAAATTGTTTGGAGAAATAACTGTATAATGTTTATTTGGACTCAATTCGTTAAGGAAAGCACTTTAGTTTTGACCAAATTTACTATTCTGTCATGCCACGACTCAGCGAAAACCAACGTAATATTGCTGTTGGAATGCTTCAAGCAGGAATGGCACAAAATATCATAGCAGGACACTTTGGAGTTCATCGAAACACCATCCAGTCATTATGGAGAAGTTTTCAACAATTTTTCTGGTAATACTCGGGATCGACCACATTCTGGGCATCCTCGCATGAGGTCGCATTGACAGGACAACAACAGTAGACTTGTGCACCTGAGAAATCGTTTCCAGACTGCAAGTTTGACTGCTTGAAGCATTCCTGGACTTTGACCAATCAGTCCAAGAACTGTGCGAAATCGTCTGCGCAAGCCTAACATCAAATCAAGACGTCCAGTTGTGCGCCCAATACTGATTCAACGTCATCGTACCGCTAGGCTAGCATGGTGCAGACGACATCTATGATTCAGAATACAGGATTGGTCCAATATTCTGTTCACTGATGAATCCAGATTTCAATTGGATAGCAGTGACGACCGTTGTAGAGTGTATCATCGCACTGGGGAGCGGTACCAGGATGCTTGTGTTGTGCAACGGCGACAATTCGGTGGAGGTAGCATTATGGTGTGGGGTGGAATCACAGCACATGGAAGGACCCCTGTACAAATTGTCAATGAAAATCTGACCGGCGTACGCTATAGAGATGAAATTATTCAGCGACATGTGATACCCTTTATACAGAGACAACAAAATCACATCACTCTTCAGCAAGACAATGCAAGGCCAAATGTTGCATGTGTAGTCAGGTTTGTTTTTGTTCAACAGAATGTTGATGTCTTGCCTTGGTCAGCTGCTTCTCCCGATTTATCGCCTATCGAGCACGTTAGGGATGAAATAGAACGACGTCTTCGCCGTTTGCCAAATCAGCCAATGACGTTGGCTGATTTAGGCCAGGCCTTAACCAACATCTGGAACAACATCCCTCAAGCATATCTGAACACTTTAATTGCATCAATGAGATGCTGATGTCAAGCATGTATGAATGCAAATGGTGGTCACACGCATTATTAACTTTGTTAATTCAAGTTTGAATACCAGTGTCTTTCCAGTGTGCTGAAATTGATGTTAGTTAACGTTAACATTTATGGATTAGGAAATGTTGTAACAAATACATTTGTTATCAGTATTACAAAAATAAAATTTGTTTATTGTTATTTTTTATAATTTTTTTCATAATAAATATAATGCACAGTTTCTTTTTTCCGTTAGTATATTATCAATAGATAGCCCTTTACCTGTTTATCTAGGCGCAGGTCCAGAAATTGAAGTTTGGAGGGGGAGAGGGAGAGGTAGGCAGGGGAGACCGTGAAGCTTTTGGATTCCAGAGATTTTGTAGGGTAAAAAAAGGTCTACCAAACAGACGTTTTAGCTCACCTCAACAAAGTTTGGAGTTGATTATTGTGAAACCCTGGGCGTTGGTGTCGGTGTTGGCGGGACACATTTTTAGCTCACCTGAGCGAAAGGCTCAAGTGAGCTTTTCTGATCACATTTTGTCCGTCGTCTGTCTGTTGGTCCGTCTAGCTATCCATCTGTCTGTCCGTACATTTGTAAACTTTTCTTCATTTTTTTTACTTCTTCTCAAGTACCATGGGGTAATTTTAACCAAACTTGGTACAAAGCATCCATGGGTGAAGGGGAGTTTAAATTGTTAAAATGAAAGGCCAAGTCCTTTCCTAAGTAGAGATAATCAAGAAAACACAAAAATAGGGTGGTGTCTTTAAAAAATATTCTTCTCAAGATCCAATGGGCCAGAAAAACTGAAACTTATGTGGAAGCATCCTGGGGTAGTGTAGATTTTAAATTTTACAAATCATGACCCCCAGGGGTTGGGCAGGGCCACAACAGGGAATCAAATTTTTTACATAGAAATATTTAGAAAACAAAAGGCCCAGTGTCACCTGAGTACTGTGGCTAGAAAAAAAAGCAGAAATCAGATTATTGTTGAAAAGTTTAAACCCAAAATTGGGCCCAACCAATCCTTAAAGAGGAAAGGGTATGATCTGAACAAATTTGCATATACACTAAGGATGCATAATATTTTCTTTGGCTACCTGTGGCTTAATTTTGTAAGCCAATGAAGAAAACTTGTCTTTGTTTTCAAAGTTTATTAAATGAATCTAAGTTTACAATTTCTCCGAGATCGTATAGATTTTTGTAAGCGTTTTCGAAATTTGAAATTTGATCCGTATAAAGCAATGCACTGATATAATGTTCAAAAGATCCGTCCACATTACAAAGAGCCGGAAACTGAACTCCTCAATAAATAAATAAGCAAAAGCCCAAAAGAATGATTCCCAAAAACAAAATGCAAGAGAGAAGTGATAATTTGAGAATAAGACCGAGAATAAAAATGGGAATAGGAATATAAATGGGAATTAAGATCGGGAATCTCTTTTCTGACCAAAACAGGGTATTTTGTGCTCAGTGGGTATCCATGGTCCCGGATATAAAAATGCATTTCATTGGCTAACTCACCATCACTGACCACCTACGCTTTGTCCGTAGGTCTGTCCGTTGACCCATGAACCCCAACATGGCACCACCCTCAAATGCAGGTAAATACTCATTACTAATATTTATGGGCTCAGTCCCCATCTCTGCACCACAGGAGTTCTAGCACTTAGCTCTTTTACTTATTTACTTCAAAGTTCCCAATTTTATTGCTCTTAGTCAAAACTCTTAATAATACCATTGTATTTCCGTTCAAATTCTATTACTTACTATTGATGGGCTTGATTGGTCTATTCGGATCAATTTCATTACAAATTGATTTACCAAATTATAGTGTATTGGAACAACAACAAAATCTAATTTTTTTTAACAAGATAATAATAGTTTACAAAATTAAAGTCCTTTTTCCAATTATAAAATCACCGAATTTTAGTCACTAATAATATACATTCTGATTTAATAAACCTTTATATCATTTTATTTTCACTACTAATAACTAAAAATGATTATGATATTAATATTGTCTAAGTTTAAAATGTTCAAACAATATGTCTGTGCTAAACCCTATAGGTTTACAATTGCCCTTTTCATTTGAACGTACATTGTGGCCCCACTCTACCCCAGGGGTCATGATTTGAACAAAATTGAAACTGTACTACCTGAGGATGCTTCCATATAAATATGACTAATCATGGCTTTGCTATTCTTGAGAAGAAGATTTTTAAAGAATTTTTGTATATATTTCTATGTAAAACTTTGATTGGCCTATTTGGCCCCGCCTTACCCCAGGGGGTTGTTGTTGTTTGAACAAACTTGAATCGACACTACCTGCTTCAATATAATTATGATCAATCATGCCTTTGCTATTCTTGAGAAGAAGTCAAGTTCAAGTCATGAATGGGAAGTAGGTGTTGGGTTGGGTGGGCCACAATTTGAGATCAAAGTTTTGCCTAGAAGTAAGGAAATTTTTAATCCCCAAGAACAGAAAAGCCATTGTTAATTATATTGATATGGAGGCATCCTCAGCTAGTACAAAATCATACTGGTTCAAATGAGGCTCCGGGGCAGGGCTGGGCCACAATGGGGGGTTCAAATGAATAAATAGGAAAAAAATCATCTGTTCAAAAACAGTAAAGGCGTTTGTTGTATGAGAGCATCATCAAGTAGTTGGTAGTTTAAAATTCAAGAACCACCCTCCCCCTTGTAAACTTCTCAATACTAAAGTGATTTCTGCTTTTATTTCTTAGCTAATGTGCTCAGGTGAGCAATGTGGCCCATGGTCCTCTTCTTGAATATATATTACACTTGAATAAGGGTGTGGCCTTTCATTTGAACAAACTTGAATCCTTTTTACCCAAGGATGCTTCATGGCAAGTTTGGTTGAAATTGGCCCAGTGGTTATGGAGAAGAAGTCAAAAATGTGAAAAATTTACAGACAGACAGAGAGAGCTAGACATACAGACTTTCAAGAACCACTGGGTCAGAAAAGCTGACACTTATGTGGAAGCATCCTGGGGTAGTGTAGATTCTGAATTGTACAAATCATGACACCCAGGTTTTTGGCTGGGCCACAATTGGGAATCAAAGTTTTACATAGACATCTATTAAAAAAAACTTTAAAATCTTTTTCTCAAGAACCACTAGGCCTGAACAGCTGAAACTTATGTGGTAGCATCCTGGGGTAGTGTAGATTCTAAATTATACAAATCATGACTTTCATTGACCGGTTGGGAAGGTTGGGGTCACAATAGGTATTAAAATTGGGAAATCTGGTAAAGAACAGCATGGGCAAAGCTACTCAGGTGAATGATGTGGCCCATGGGCCTCTTGTTATGTAGAAGTACTTCTGTGACTAACATTAATTAGAGATGCTTGGAGGATGCCTTTTGAGTGTGTCATTGTACCCATTTAGGCTTCAGATGCAATTTCAGCAAAGGAATGACTATATTAAAGGATACACACGTTTTAATGTATTTTACCAGGCAAGGAGTTTGTGACTCAATAACTGTAGTTGTACAAATGAAACATCTAGTGAAAGTGAATGTACTGATGAAGTTATGAGCAAGTTTGTTTCTAAAACCAAGCATTTTGCACCTTACGTCCAGGTCTTGTATCTCAATCAAATACAAAATACTGTCTTTAGGAAAATACACTTATATATATTGATTAATATGCAGACTTTTTTTGTCCATTGTACAATTATAAAACACACCGATTTTACTTTTCATTTGCCAAATACAATATTGTATTAAAATATATTTATTGAAACATATTCCCTCTTACAGTGTTATCATTTGCTTCATCATTTTTCCTATGCCAGTTCAAGGCCAATCATAATGGCGATCAAAGTAATACAAAAGGAATATACAGAAAACAAGATGTGTTTGTAAAACAGTCTGATGCCCCCGTAGGTCATCTTTTTTGGAAGGTTAACGTTTTTCAAAAGCAAATCAAAGTTCAGGAGATAAAAAAGGTTGTTACCTAAAGAAGGACTTGTTTCGATGACTATCCTTGTGAAATATAAAACCCTAAGCACTAAACATTCAAAAGTTTAAGTTTTTAAAATGTGGGTCAAACTCCATGGTCGAAGTGTCATATTGAAATTAAGGTACTCATCTTTTATAAATTCTTATCACGTAGATTTCTTCATTTACATGAGTTTATTTTCTACTTACATGTATTGATTTTTATGTTTCCTTTTCATTTTACTGATGATTAAAGAATTTAATTCTGGTAATTTCCGAAAATCAGAAATGGCGACATTCATCTTTTTATACGCCCGTCTTAAGACATGACGTATTATGTTATAGGCTTCCTGTCTGTTGGTGTTTTAGCTTTTTTGTGTCTGGCTCATAACTTTAATGCTGTTAGGCCTAGAATTATCAAACTTTGTCGACTGATACTTCTTGGAGAGAAGGTGTATCGTTCACAAAAAGTAGGTCGCTCTGACCTCCAAGTTTTTATGGCCAATTATGGAAAAATCCTGCCCGGCTCATAACTAGACCTAGAATTATCAAACTTGGCAAATGAATGCATCTTAGGTAGAAGGTGTGTGATGACCTATTTCAAGGTCACTGTGACCTTCAATATCGATGAATTTATTTAAAACTAAATCTTTTAAATTTTTAATTAAACAATACCAAAAAATCCCCAAAAATGTAAAAGTATAGATGTATCCTTATTAAAAAAAAGAAAAAGAAATAACTTATTTTTTTATCATATATTTTACAACAATCTGCAACAAATGTAATGTTATGAGAGAAATTCCATCTCTCTTATAGGCATAATTATCGTGCACTTGTCAAGAAGAATTTTGATACCAGAAATTTACATGTTAAATTAGAGAGAAATTAATGAGTCAATTGTCAGGAGCTAACTGATAGAGCATCTCTGATCAAGCAGGTGTTATCTTTATCTCTTGCGAGTTGGGCAAAGGAAATCGACCTCATGATTGCTTGTGTTAAAGAGTTCTTGATGGCTAGTCTAACTTTCAAGATAAAGGTGTAATGTAAATAGAACAAATTTGATGTTGAAAAATATAGTGTATGATTTAAACCAAGTTAATATAGTATGATACATGTACATGTATGATTAAAACTAATTGAACATGTATTTTTAGCTCTTCTGAGCCAAAGGCTCAAAGAGCTAATGCTATGGCCATTTGTGCAGTGTGCGCTGTGCGTAAACTTTTTAAAATATGGGCCATAACTCAAGAACCCCTTGGCCAATCAGTGTCAAATTTGTCACAGGGTATCCTTGGCCCAAGGGCTACCATTTATACTTAAACTAGGGTTGGGACCTTAAAACAAGGGGAGATAATCAGGAAAACAAAACCAAAAGTACTGGTTGCTAAAAAAATCTTCTCCAGAACCACCTGGCAGATTTTCACTAAACTTACACACAAGGATCAGGATATGATGAAGATTAAAATTTGCATGGGGAATTACCCTGAGGCAAGGGGTGTGGTCTCAAGGTCACTTCAAAGTTGACCTAAATTTACACTTGATAAAAACATTTATTTTTCGCTTACTTTAAAGACTATGATCATCAAATCTTGTAAGTTGATGCATCTTAGGACTTCACATCATGTTAACTCAAAAGTAGGTCACTGACCTACTTTTTAAATTTTGCGGGCATTTGTTTTCAAATTGATTTGAAAGCATATTTTGGACACTTTAAGGCCTATGATTATCAAACTTTGTCAGTTGATGCATCTTGGGTCTTTAAACAACGTCAACTTAAAAGTAGGTCACCGTGACCTACTTTTTGAATGTTATTGCTACTCCTTTCTAAAACATTTAATCCCATTATTTCAGACACCAATAAGTTTAGAATCATCAAATCTTGTAAGTTGATGCATCTTGGGGCCTTAAAACATATTTATTTATATGACCTACTTTTTGAATTTTGCAGGCATTTGTCTTCAAATTGTTTAAAAGGCATATTTTAAATACTTTCAGACATATGATCATCAAACTTTAGATGCATTTTCGGTCTTTGGAAAACGTTGACCAAAATGTAGGTCATGGTGACCTACTTTTGACATTTTATGTCTATATTTAAGTATCTTAGGTACGTATTAGCTTAGAATCATCAAACTTTGTCCGTTGATGCATCTTGGGTTTTCGAAGAATGACGACCAAAAAGTAGGTCACAGAGACCTTCTTCTGAATATCTCAAGTACTTATTGGCTTAGAATCATCAAACTTTGTCAGTTGATGTATCTTGAGTTTTCGGGGAATGCAAACCAAAAATTACATTACCTTGACCTATTTTTTACATTTTATGGCTATATTTTAGTATCTCAAGTACTTATTGACCTAGAATTGTTAAACTTTGTCAGTTGGGGCATCTCTGGTTTTTCAGAGAATGTCGACCAAAAAGTAGGTCATGGTGACCTACTTTTGAATATCCCGGATACATACTGGCATAGAATTATAAAACTTTGTCGGTTGATGCATCTTGGGTTTTCGGAAAATGATGACCAAAAAGTAGGTCACCATGACCTACTTTTGACATTTTATGCTATATTAAAGTATATTGGGTACCTGTTGGCTTAGAATCATCAAACTTTGTCAGTTGATGTATCTTGGGTTTTCAGCGAATGTAGACAAAAAAGTAAATCATGGTGACCTACATTTGAATATCTCAAGTACTTACTGGCTTAGAATCTTCAATATTTGTCTATTAATGCATATTGAGTCCTCAGAAAACTTCAATCTTAAAGTAGGTCACCTTATGACCTACTTATGGTTTTTTTTACTGGCTTACGAAGCCATATAGCTCCCGGTGTATCTTTACGGCAAAGAGTTCACGATGTCTTCTAGTAAACATGAGCAAGATAAAATAGTCCTCATCTTTTCTTTAATTCTATTCTACCTTTGTTGTGAAAATTACTCACCAAGTTCTTAATCAAAAACCTTGTTATTTTCATTTAATTTTCGCTACTGAAGACAAGATAAACCAAATAAAAAAACTAAATTGAATAAACTCTCGGGAGGATGCGGAAGAATATCTTCTGACCATATGTGTCAACAGCGCCACCGTGTAGGTAAGTTGATCTATAAATAAATGAAAGAAAGAGAACTCTGTCGGAAGTACGTTATCGCGCCAGATAGTTCGTAGGAATACAGATTGAATGTATTTTACCTTACAAACTGTTTAAACAGCTGCTAAAAGCAGTGATTTACTAAGGCCGTTTTTGCATGGCGGTAACGCGATCATGATCTCCCGCCAACTCAATGTTGTGAACTCGATGTGAATCGCGGCACGGGGTATGATGCAATAGCCTAGCTGTCAATTTTTGTTCATTGCAATTTAATTACTGGTATATTACTAAGTATCAAGTTTGTAGTTGATGAAAATATTAATTAATAACCATAAAAATGTAATTGATGGCTGTCAGATTGTACGAACGGTAAAAGCAATACACTTGTTAATGCACACGTGGCGTTTTCCAACATTCACAGGTCGTTCTATAAATAACATTAATGATCCGACATTTAAAAAAGATTCATTATTTAAAGGGCACCTTTAGTCAAATATTTTCTTTTCACTGTTCAATAAAAATAATTTACTTATAAACACATGAAAAATCTGCACCTCTTTATCTGCAGTTGTTTAGCTAATAAAAACAATTAAATTTGACATTTTCTGCCTGCTCACGGAAACACACGAGGGTAAAGCAGCAAAAACTCTCTTATCAGCTGTGGAATGTGCAACGTCACGAATGTGTCCGAGAGAGAGCCTTGTACCTTAATATTAGAATCATAGCTTCACAAACAGATGAAATTGAAATAGTGTTGTCACGATGATCGATTAATAATCGATGATCGGTCGGAAAGGCTGTCGATTTTAGACAATCGATTGGAAATTTTAACAATCGATTAATCGGTATATTTCAGCACATATCTTTTTAGGTCACCTGAGTAAACTCAGGTGACCTATTGCTATCTGTTTTCGTCCGTCGTCGTGCGTCGTGCGTCGTCCGTCGTGCGTTAACATTTGAACATTTTCAGCTTCTTCTCTGCAACCACTGAACCAATTTCAACCAAATTTGGCACAAAGCATCTATGGGTGAAGGGGAACAAAAATTGTGAATTTCATGATCCCTGCCCCCCTGGGGCCTGAGGGGTGGGGCCAAAACCACTAAAATTAATGCAATCTTTAAAAATCTTCTTCTTTACTCCTGGACATCAAGCAGTCAAACTGTTTGCATGATTGTAATCAGCAATGAGTCCTCTACCAAAATTGTGAAATTCATGGCCCTGGGGTCAGGGGTTCTAGTGCTAGGGTGGGGCTAAATAAGTAGGTAGTGAAAATGCATTATTTCTTTGAAAACCTTCTTCTCTGCTCCTGGGTATTAAATAAACCAACTAAGTGCATAGTTATGATGAGCAAGAGTGCCTCTACCAAAATTGTGAATTTTATGGCCCCAGGGTCAGGGGTTCTTGTGTTAGGGCGGGGCTCTATTGATTATATAGTGAAAATACATGAATTCTTTGAAAATCTTCTTCTCTGCTCCTGGGTATTAAATAAACTAACTAAGTACATAGTTATGATGAGCAAGAGTGTCTCTACCAAATTTGTGTATTGTATGGCCCCAGGGTCAGGGGTTCTTGTTTTAGGGTGGGGCTCTAATGATTATATAGTGAAATGCATGAATTCTTTGAACATCTTATCCTTTGCTCCTGGTTAATGTACTAATGATCTAATTACATATTTAAGGCCAGGATTTATTTTATTTTCAGTTTTACAAACCCTCCACTCAAG